GTGTCAGGGGCATGTGCTTCTTCCTTAAGTGACTTCCACTGTGGGAAGAAGTTCCTAGTCTGGCTGTTACTGTTTTAATGACATGTGAATACAATATTCAGCAGAGGTCATGTGGCTTTGGCATAGGTGAAGGCCATTTAGGTGGGCATTTTAACCGATTTTTAAGAATAATCCTCTCTGAGTTGTTTTGCTAATAAAAAATGCCTGGTTTAGACACGTGGAGGCAAAGGCCAAGTCTACAAGAAGAAGCTAGTGTGGAGCACTAGGAAGATTTAGTGTTGCCAACCCAGGTTTTGGGGGTGGGAGGGGATCTTTTGGGCTCTTTCTTGTCCAGTCCCATGACTGGGCACCTCAGTGGCTGAAACTGTACGTTAGGTGGGCTCTGGCCTAGCTTTGCCTGGCAGCTCTGTGCTTTCAAGCTAATCGGTATGAACCAGAGTGGGTGGGAACAAGTGAGAAATTCACTTCAAAGATACATTTGTGATCTGAATTAAAACACTAACATAGAAGTGTGTTAAATGTCAACAAAGTCCTCCCAGCAGAGCAGCCCATGCGCTGGAGTACTGAGATGCAGAAACCAAACATGTGAGCGATGCAAACACAATTCATGGCAAAATTACAAAAATGCTCTGCTTCTGTCTTAAAAGTGGCACCCTAATTTATATGTAGACCTTTACCGAAGGGATCCTTACTCAGACATTCCTCACAATGTGGGCTGTGTTTTATTATGTATAGTCTTTCCGGAGACTGCCCTGACAAACAAATGATAATTTTTTCAATTTTTTTTTTGCTCCTGAGTGTGTATCATGCTGTGGTTTAGGCATGTGATGGCTTTACACAGAAGCTTTATACGTCCTCTGCATGTTATTTAATATAAATTCTAAAATGAGTTCATCTTTTTTGTGCCCAAAACCCAGTTATGTGGGAAAAATGTTTAAAATATTTGTAATATAAACTAGCTATATTGAAGGTCACTTGCTCAGGAAAACAATTTTCAGTCTGGAAAAGGAGAGTTGCCATGTTGGATATGTTGTTGTTGCAGCATTTCTTGAGGTCTCTGTGCTGACTGGCTCTAATGTCTATGGAATTTAGTGAAGCTTAGGAATTGGTGTTGTATGATTTGAAATCATCAGAACTGTTAATTATTGCCAAAACAATTTATTCTTCACCCCAGCTTTTCTCTTCCACAGCAAAAACTAGAAGAAAAAGAATGTCTTTCAGCTCAAAAGCAAACAGAATCTTGCTGCTGCGTGTTTGGGACCAGATTATGTGAACTGAGAGGGAAAGGTGTACTTCAGCAATCCTGAAATAAATTTGCCAATAATATAAATCTTAATCTCTGCTCTTCTCTCTATGCACACAGGATGTATTTTTCGTTTGCTTCCTCGCACTTCCTTTATTTCATTCCCTCTCCATGTTCCCTTGCTTTTTTTCTTGAGAAGAATCCAATAGTGCATGAGCCAGAAGGAAAAATCCTGCTGTTGATCCCTGGTCTGGACAGCCAGGGACAAGACTCTGTGGGTTTTGGCAAAGCCGTGGAGGGGCACGGCCTGAAGGCTTTGCAGTCTTTGCTCCTTCATTGTTCTCTACCGAGGCTGCAGAACAGAAAGTGAGGCGGGTACGATTCCATCCAGCCTTGCAAGTGTCAGTCTCTGCTGTTTTGCAGGCTCCGAAGTCACTCCCTGTCTGACCAAAATACTAGCTTTCTGAATCAGTTTTTGTGTCATGGGTGAAGCAACCAGACAAGCATGTGTATTTCCAATGACTGTATCTAGCAGGGAAGCAATTAAAAGCTAACAAACACCCCCCCGCCCCCCCAAAAAAACCCACCCCCACAAAAAACAGGGCAGGGGCAGGATAGGGAGGACATTTTCTTAGGTTTTATTTTGATGCTTCTTTCAGACAACCAACATTGCTGGTGGTTGCACCAACTTACAGGGATGTAGCAGGACCAGAGAATGGGATGAACAGGCCAGATTTCTCACAGCCTTTCCTGTTAGAAGGCACCGGAAGGCTTCAAACGTAGCAGTGTTGCAATCCTATTCATTTTATTGACTTACCTAGGGAAATAGTTTGATGTCCTTTGTTCTGTTTTTGGAACATGTGAGCCTTTTTCCTCCACTAAGCATTAGTATTTAAAGGCTTCTCTGCTGTATAGCAATACAGAATTAATCCAGTAATCACCATATTGACCTTCTCCTCATTGGAACAAGCAGGGGCTGGTAGGGGGATAGTACAAATGTGTTCGTTTTGCAGAAAGACTCTACAGTTGTTGGGTTTTTTTAATTATTTATTCCTGCTATACAATAGCAATTCATTAAATCTCAAAAGCTGAAAAACAGCAGATCGGCATTTTCTGACCAGTGTCATTAAAAAACAATAAAAATCCTGAATCTGCTGTTGGTATCAGTTCAGGTGTCATGGTGTCCTGACATCAGCTGGAGGTGTTTCAAATAAATCTGAGAGGTGATGGAGAGTAAGGAGTCAAAAACATGCCATGTCAGAAAGTGGGAGATGTGAAGTGCACCCGTAGGATACTCCTGGGCAATGAGTTGTGCTTTTGTTGGTGACAGGTGACTCCATGTCCAGAGACTGGAGCTTCAATAAAATAGGACATTTTTGTGTAAAAGTTGGTTGTTTTGTAAATCCACCGTTTGGAACCCAGGAAGCAATTGTGGGAATACCTCAGGAAAAGCTTTTGTCAGGAGTTGGCCCTGACCAGAAATCCTGGAGAAGGTCTGCAGTATTGGATAGTTACGACTTAATACAGAAGCGCTGGGGCTTGGTTATACTCAACCCAAATTTAAAGCGTTGGAAGCTCGCTCCTTTTCATCTCTGTTTACTATTTTGAAACTGATGAAAGTGTGTGACTATTTGACTGATCAAAGCCATTACTAATTGTAAGAACAGTGCTCCAGGAAGTATATTCTAGCAGTAGTGCAACTTTAAGCTGTTTGTGCTCAAGGATGACTATCAGCTGCCACACAGCTCCCGGATTCTTGGTCTTCTCTTCCTTGGCTAAGAGCTGAGTTTCTCAGTAGGGGGTTCAGTACAAATAAGCACAAAACATAAAGCTCCTTCAGACTCGCAATGTTTTCATTCTGTAGGAAATCCAGTTTAAAGGTACAAATAGCCCATCCTGTTCTTTTCTGCGCCTTCTCCTCTCAGGAAGCTTAAAAAGGAGCTTCAGGGTGCCTCAGCGCTTGAACAATTCAAAGCCTGTTTGCAGAAATGCGTGTGTGTGAATCAGGGACCTTAAACATAAGCTCTAATGGATATAAAAATATGTTCTGTGTGCTCTCAGTCCGCACACAGACCAGAAACGACCTTGTTCCCAATGAGGGAAATGCCGTTCTGTCAATTCCAGTCCACGTTGGCTTGGACAATAAGGAATAAGTAATCTGCCATTCAAAGGCGAAAGCAAGCAATGGGCTCATTCCTATGTATTTTAGTGTTTCATAGCCAACAGAAGCTGTATATCATTTTGCCAGAAAAGCTCCAAATGGCTCCCTGAAATTGGTCTGTGCTTTGTGGGCTGGGTGGCTGATTTCTTTGAGAATATCAGCAAATGTATTCAATTCCTCCGCTGTAAATTAGGTTTAATATCACTGAAATTACTGAGAAGAGTAAAACTGGGAAAAAGAATCATGTTTCAAAATGAGGTCAAGTGATTAGGCCAAAAACAGGATGTGAAAATAAAATTGAAGTCTGTCTTTATTAACCATGACCTCAGTAGTCCAGTTTTTTG